GGCTTAGTCTTTTGCAAGGACAAGACGAGGCTTTAAATATTTATGCACGATTGCTGTACCCAAAAGTGCAGTCTCAGATGTATTTAACACCAAATTAGTAATTTTGGCACAACATTCAGTGATCACAGATTTATTTTATTGCTTATGTCTGTGGTCTCAAGCCTTTACAAAGGTTTGCTTAATGAGGGGCAAGTGAGAGGCCATGTTACAAAACTTAAGCGTTTTGTAGCACAGTAGCAATGGAGGCCAAAAAGAGACAAACCCATCTTCTGTCTCACTTGCTCATACCTCCCCAGAAAATTAACCTTGAGGACCAAAGTGTCCCTGCCTTGGGCTGTGGTTGTGAAATATATGGGGATGGGAGGGAGATGGGAGAAGAAAAGGGTGTAAAGATGGGAAAAAACATCTTTTGTAAGCTCTTCCACACTGTTAAGTGTCAGCACCTAAGTTACAACACAGTTCCAAAGCAGCAATGGTTTCCTCTCTCCATTGGGAGAGAGCAGAGCTACTCACAGCATAGGATGCCACAGGTGTCAAAGGACCTGCGCTGCTCCGGCCAACGCTGCCTCTGCAGAGGGGCTGTGGGCTCAAACCGCCTGCGGGACCCAGCACCGCTCCAGTCCCAGGTCTCACAGGCCTTCAGTGACAGACCTCGGACTGCAGGGCAGGAACTCAGCACAGGCTCTCGCTCTCTCCTCGCCCTTCCAAAGGGCCAGAGGGACGCTCCCCTGCTGCTGCAGGTCCCAGCAGCCCCCGTTCCCACCAAACACAGCCAGCCGCAGCACCCAGAGGGGAGAGCAGTGAAACAGAGGGAAAAGTAGGGGGGGCTGGGGCAGATGAGACACTTTAGCGGAGAACTTGAAGCACAAGAACAGGAATCCCACCAGGGTTCCAAGCAACCGGGAGTCTCGACCCATCCGCAAATTACTCTTACATGCTCCAGAACAGAAAGTTGTATCAGAGGCCCACAGCTCTTGGCTGTTCTGCCTTTAAAACCATCAGCCCCTCAGTACTGTTACAAAACTCTGTGGTTGTTTGAGGACTGCAAATGACCTAATGTCTGAGGGTTTTATTATTTTTTTTCCTCTTACTGCAGGAGGGGAAATGAGCCAGCATCTTTTGCCCCACCTCGTAGATCTGGAGGCAGAAGAGTAATTGAGAATGCAACAGAAGGAGGTGATGAAGAAATGGATGCAAGAGATGGAGATTTCAATGGAACAAAAGCCAGTGAATAAACACGCTTAAAAAAATTGCACTGCAGCAAGGGGAGGGAGGATGATATTTAGCACTGTATAAGTCTACTCTTAGCGTCAAGGTCACATACACCCCACTCCTCTGACAATAAGAGCACAACTACCTTGCCGCCAATGTATAGATTGACGTTAAAAGTACTCCAAAACTTACGTTACCATGAAGTGTATTTGAAAAGGTGGGGTTTTTAACACTCAGAGTAATTCACTTTGATAATCTACCGGAAAGTGAGTTCTAGTAGCTCAGATGATTTTAATCCCAGTGAACTGTAGTTTACACAGGATTTGTGAGATTGTTGCAAGAAAAAAAAAAGGCATTGTTCAGTTAATCTTTTCTTAAACTTTCATTTTGTCTTGAGTATTTGATTAATATAGGGTTTTTTCCTGGTTACTACACCCCTGATGCACAATTCACAAGGTGGAAGTGCCTTTTTAATCACTTACTGAAAAGTAAAATATCATTTGTTCAAATTAAGTCAACTGTTACAGTTTTATATGCACCATGGATGTGCTTACACACAAATAAAAGGCTACAAAAACTACTCCAGTGCTCTTGCGTACAGGTGTCACTTGGGTGCAATACAGCATGCTCGAAGGGAACGGGGGATGCAGCAGAATGTCTTTACAACTCAAATGCTTTTTAGAAAAGGTCAACTGTAATCATTAGAACAAAAACCTGATTTTCTCGTAAGCAGTTGCTTTTGAAGGAATAAAAGAAAGTATGTACACTGAGCTGAAAGTAAAATGGCATGAAGTCTTTGGCACAGATTTGGTTACCCCATGGACACATGCTGACGGAGGTGCCCCAGGATGTATCCAAGGGCTGACAGACAGGATTGCAGGAGAGGCGCAGCAGCTGGAAAGCAGGCAGGCCCGAGCCCCTGCCTAAAGGCAGCTGAACCCATCCTTGAAGTCTGCATGCATAGGGCTATTCCCAACTAAAGCCCCTAAAGCAGGCTGAAAACCATTAGAAGCAGCAGCCCAGGCTGAATGCAGAGCCCCAAGCCAAGCTATTCAGCATTAAGGGATCAGCACGCAGTCCCTTTTTATTTTTGGAGCGCTCCAGCAGGACCGCAGCCCCCTCCTGGGAACTACCAGGACCTACCACAAAGCCATGAGCTCCAGTACTTTCAGACAGCAGCTAGCTTTGGGCTCACACTGGGGCAGCAGTGCTGCGCACAGCAAAGCCAGGTGTAGAGTTACTCTAAACCCAGTACAGAGAGCTTATTCCGTGTCTTAGGTTGTACAGCCAGTGAACCTTACGCGGTGTGACTACAGGGAGAGCAAGTCATACAAAAACATCCACCTTGATACCTAAGGCAACCATCTTCTAAATCTAAGCACTGTTCCAGAAGGTAGAGATCTGAACAGGAGATTCAGACTAGACACCATTTAGCCAGCAGAATCAGAGCCCAAAGAATTCTCTCTGCTCATGAAAGAGTAAAGGAAGATTTTAAGAACGAACCCACCTACAGGGATTGAGATGATAAGCTGCAGAGGAGCTATCAGGTAAGACCTTTTCATAAGAACAGTCTTAAGCACCAGCGCTTGGAGCAGAACCAGCAAACTGAACATGGAGCCCTTCTAAAAGGAATTCATCTAGAAAATTCAGATGCATAATGGTAGAGGTTGGTCCAACAGTTAGAGCTCTGCCCTATCACTTGAGAAACTCAGGTTCCAGTCCCTGTTCTGCAAAGCTTGTCACAAGATAGGGAGTCAGAGTTTCTTCAGTAACACCACAGAAAGCATCCTTCTGCAACACCGGCTGAACTAAAGTTCCTCTCCCAAAAAAGAGTTCCTCTCTGTACCATTACAGAGGTGACTGTTCTAAATTATTTCGACAATTCTCAATAGCATATTGACCCATAGTCTGATTATATCTGTAGTCACATTAATAATATATCTGTAATATATAATAGTAACACAACTACGATTTTCCAACTTTCTACCTTATCTCAGCGCTGTGTCTCAATCTGACTGCAAGCCAAATTGCTCACCAAGCAGACAAATTCTGGCAAGATAAGGAAAACGCAACTTGTCTTGACGGATCCCTCCAAGATACACAGCCCACCGAACCGCAGTCCACGTGTCAGCACAACTAACAAAGCAGCCCACACGCTTCTGCTCCTCATGGGCAAGAAAAGAATGTCAACTCACTGTGCGAGAGGAGAGGACAAAAATCATGTTAAAACTGCCAGAGTTCAAGATTTTAAGAGAGAGCAGTGCCAATACTAAGCACTGTAAATCCCAGAGGCATCTTTAGCTATGGCAATATTTACATTCCTTAGGGTAGGAAGCCATGAGAAGAGAGAGATGGAGGAAAATCTTTGCATATGATTCAGCAAAACAAACAATGTCTCCTTCAGCTTTGCTGCTCAGAAACAGATGAGAAGCTGGTAGGAAACGTCTGCATGTAAACCACAGTGACTACTTGCAAAAAAACTCAAAATGAATCAACAACTAGCATTCAAAATAAGCTTTATTCTGCTCCGCAGTTAAGCCAACTTTGTAGATGGCCTGAATAATGGGAATGATCTGTGGTTATTTCCTAGTCCAGAAAAAGATACATCAGTGGCTGTTTTCACAGCATTTTCTTAAAAAAAAACAAAAAACAAACCCATTTATGCATTCTTTTGTCAAGTAAGCTCTCCACACCCCCACAAAAAAACATAGAAATTGTTTAGTCATGATTATTTCTGCAAGAACAGGCTTTCATAAGGTACATTAATACTGTGAGTGAACCTAGTCCATTTTTAAAAAAAACCAAAATGCAGTAATTCTACAGGGGAAAAAACTGATTTAAAAATAATTCTCTACTTATATACATTTGTCTAGCATAAAGGACTTTTCAAGTTAAAAAATATTTCTAAATTAGTAACAGTTGAAAGCATATTCTCATAAAAAAATAAAACAAGAAAAGAATCACTAATACCCAAGGCACATTAATAAGGGAGGTTTGGAAAGCAGTAAAACCCACCTATTAAGATGTTAGAACTAGGAACTTAATCAGGTCTCTTGCTTCCTACAACAGCCAGGCTTTACAGGCCACAATATGGCAAAAAAAAAAAGACATCTATATGCTAAGCCAGTCCAAAGTCTCCCACCTAGCTGTTAGCTCTGGGATCTCCCAAGTACCCTAAGCACAACGCAATCCTCACCTTTAAGGGCGACCTGTTCTAATGGGAAATCATTGCTTACCAAGCCATCTTACCACTAGAGAGGCAAGATTCTGACCAGCAAACATCCCACAGAGCTGAGCAGCTCCCCTGAAGAAATACACCTTTCTCCACATAAAAACTCTCCTCCAATTCGGGTGGCTGCAGCACACAGCACCCATGACAGAAAGCCAGCACAACTGGAATTTAAGCCAGGACACCCTGGTGCTGCATTAACACCGAAAGCCAAACCCGAGGAGCGGCATAGGCAATGCTCTCTGTTGTAGGTAGAGGGACAACGGCTTTGACTGGCAGCATCAAAAGAAGCAACTTTCAAGGAGCTATTTACAGCAACTGATGTAGGAAGCAATTCGAAGCCCTGCACTGCTAAGCAGCATTGCTCTATCACACTACCCACCAGACTCAGCCAAGAGGCCAGATCGCGCAAGGCCACAGAGGCCACTGCCAATTGCAGCTTCTTGTTCAGCTCTCACCTACTCCGAGACTGCTGCCTGATTGCTTACTGAGATTCTCTTTAAAACTAAAGTTTAAAATATATATTTATTTTTGTCTTCCTTTTCCAAAGCCGGCCAGGCTTTTCACAGCAGAATCTTGACAACGCTTTGCGAGGGATGGCTCATTGGTCCTGGGATATTTGAAGGACATGTTCCAAACTCCAGGCGTTTCACTAACCTGCCAAAACAAAATATAAGTTAGTGCACTTCTTGCTCAGTTTTACTGTAACTGGTCCCTTCCAGCATACACCGCTCAGCTTGAGAAATCAACAGACAAGAGCATCACTCTGAGCACTAAGTGAGCCTGTTACTTAACTGGGTGAGTTTCCACTGTAACGCAGGGCTCTTTTCTCCAAGTAGTGAGAAGCTATCTTTTACAGGTCTTGGAATTTCAGTTCTAGCATTACAGTGGTAGATGTATAATCAGCTGCACAACTATGTAAATGTATGGTCCTCAAGGCTTTCTTGTAGGAGCTTTCACGAGGCTTCTCCCCAGGCTGGGATAGCAAGTACAATGTGGAGCACTCCTTCCACACAACAATTTTGGGCACTGGGTAACAGGACAAACCAGTATTTCCAGCGCAAGGGTCTAGCTGAATAGTTAAGTCCGGAACAAACTGCACTGTAGGCACTAATTTACAGAGAATCTGAAGAATGTACAGTACAGGATTGGCAGGGTTTAAGCAGATGCTGAACTGCAACTTGTGATAACCTTGCTGATTTTTCTTCATTTGTTTAAAAAAAGATAACCCGTTCAAGTGTTCAAATTTATCAGTTGAGTCAGGTAACTTCCCGTCAGCGGCTCCTTGGAACCACATCTTAGCAACCGTAAAGCATTCTGATAGAGTGAGCTCATTATTTGCCTTTTTTCCAGTTCTCACATAAATGAGAACCTTAAGTGTGATAAGAGAAGTCTCTACATGCCATAATATTCCCAAGACATCACTTGTACAAGAACATAAAGCATAAAACAAATTGAGCCCTAAGCAAGAGCCCCTCTGTTGTACTTCATCCCATGTAAACACTGAGTTTATAATAAAACACATTGTTACATTTGCTTTGAATTTGAGGTTTTCAAAACTTGATTCCAACTAGCCTTTGAATTTCAGCACCTAGTGATTCCAAATTTTAAACTGATCTGAAGCATTCAAATCATAATGCTGAACAACTAAATTTCGTATCTTTTGAGAACAAATCCGTCTCTACCAAAACAAAGATTTAATACTAAATAGACCAGTACCAGTCCAAGTTCTAACACCAACAGCTCTCACTAAGACACAACAGCAGAGACCAGCACTCACCCTGTATCACACAGAGGCTGATGAGGACTCAGGCGTGTTTCAAGGACGTCTCTGTTCATGTACATGGACACCGTGGCTCTGCTTGGAGACTGGTCATACACAAAGTTTCGGCAAGATGCAAGCTTGGACTCCAAAGCCTAATGTAAACACAGATGAGGCAAGCATCAGACATCACCCTTCTCTTTCACAAGATGGCATTGTGGCACACCAAATGCCAACACAGCACTGGGGCATAAGGCAGAAAACAGAAGGAAGCCATGGCATAAATGTTCCAGCATCAGCACTACCTTAAATATCACACTACAGCTTAACATGATGTTAGGCCTTCCTCAAAAGACTACTGGATTCAAGGCAAACCTCACCAGAAGCCCTCGGGACAGCAGGCACCAGCCTGCTTTCTTCTCTGCCTTTCATGGTAGCAGATCCCTTCTTAATTTACTCACACTGATTTATTCTTTCTGCACATGTGCTTTCAGAAGTTTGCAGAGGAAGGTCTTATCCCCACGTGAATAAGATCTTAGAAAAGCAGAGCAGTGTCCATCTTTATGTGAGGCTTGGTCAGAATTGTACAAAGTCCAGATCTAACTCCAAGACCACACTTAGCTAAGCTGGGGGCAAAACACTCTTTACAGTCTCCTCTGAGCAGCAGCACAAATAGCGCTGCCTGCAGTTTCAGACAGCTCTACCTTCCCAAGAGCACTGGCCAGCAGGCAATCACTCACCCCTACTTTTCGCAGCAAGTCTCCCACGATGTTAAGTGCAGATATTCTTGCAGCAGGCGTGAGAGGGGTTGCACCGTAACTGTCCTCAAGACCTGTAGGTCAGGTTAAAGGAGGATACATTACTCATTTTAAAAAAAAAACCAAAGCTTTGACATTGGAAATCAGAAGACAGCCTGACACACAGAGCAGAGGCAACATCAATATCTTCACCTTTTTGCTGTCTCACCTCCAGATCTGTCATATCCATCAGGAATATGAAGCACTGTCTCCCTGAGACAGCTCAAGTTACGCTGCCCTAAGCTAAAGTCTCTAGTCGTTCTGTGGCTTGGGTTTCTAGAGTTCTGTTCTACCAGACCACCCTGCATCTCTGTTGCTGCAGTGGGACCAGAGGGACATGTCCTCAGAGAGGACCATCACCTCATTTTACTAGAAGACTACAAATTCTGTCACTCTTACAGGAGCGTTAATTCCTCCACACAAACACATAATTTTAGGTTAAGCGTAGTGAAGCCCACAATCAAACTTTGTCAGTGCTCAGAGCTATAATATCAAATCATCAGTGTGATAGTACAACTCCTTGCATTTATGCATACACATGAACACAGTTACACAAATTTCTGGCTTTCGAAGTAAGAAAATGGGAGAGTTAGAGGTTTGAAATAATCAGTGCTCACCAAAAATAAGTAACTGATATTACTGACATGAAAGCAGAGCTATAGTCATTTAGTACAGAGAGCTAGGATGACCTGTCAGTGTCCTGCTGTTCCAGAGCAAAAAGAAAGCCTCTCTCAAAGAGCACCTACTCTCACAGAGAAGCCAATTCAAGTAACATGAGTGTGACATTAAAGATCACACTTAAGTTTTTAAATCCTTCCCCTAAGTTAGCCCAACATCTCTGAGACAGTTGTGAACTAATAGTAAAGTCTCAACAGCTCATCTTGTCCCTCACAATTATTATTACTGGACAGTTCAAATCAAGTGGAAATGAACAGCCCACGAACAAACCCCAAAATCACAGCCTGAATACTGGGACCATGGTGACTGGATTTACGTGTATTCAACTGAAACACTCAACTCTGTTCCCTGTTTTCTCATTTCTCCTTTAGCCAGAGACTATAGTAAAAACAAGAGCATCGAATAGTGCTTCTGTGCTGGTTCTCTGTAAGTCACCTCTCCTAAATGTCGCAGGGGTGGGTATGTTGACGTTGGGTGCCCGGTGCACAGAGGGAGTTGAAGGCACAGATAAGGACGCTTGAACTGCAGTGTCCGTTCTTTCTGTTTCCAGCGTAGTTCGCATTGGTGTCTTGGGTTTCTCCTGTTTCTGCTGCACTGCAAGCTCTTGTCGTAGATCTATGAAGGAAGCAGCATAAAGCAAGCCTTTGGAGCACGTATCCACCCAGATAAAAAGTTTGTTTTGCCCAAAGATTGTTCCTGTTGTGGTGTTTTTCCAGCTCCACAGTCTCTCTCTTCTCACCCAGCCTTACTGACAGATATCAAGAAGCTAGCACAAAAGGCATTCGAAGGTTACTAGAAGTCAGTCACAGCCCTCCTGTTTTACTGCCCCATTAGTCTTTCACTGACTCCATTTTTCACAGGCCAGGAAACAAGGAGGTTAATGGTTATTAAAGCTGACCTTCACGGTTAGAGGAAGGCAGACCAGCACTGGCCCAGCAGGCCTGGCTCTTCCTAACCCCCTAAGGCACTGAAGCATCCCCACAGATTAGAAGAAGCTGGAACAGACTTTTGCTTCTGTGAGCTGCTCTGGAACATGTCAGGAGTTCAAGGAGGGGGAACATCTGAAGCTTCCTCATTTGCTTCTACATTTCAGATAGCAGATTTAAAAGATGCAAACTTAAAAGCCAAGCTCTAAGATATATGGAAGAACTGAACAGCTACAAGCCAGGAGAGGAGAAAGGGAAAGACACAAGTAATTTCTGTCTAACCTCTAGCTTCATCTTTCAGGCGCTGCACGGACTCCAGAAGGTTTTCTTTCTCATCCAGTTCACTCTCCAGAAATGCATTTCTTTCAATAGCCTGGTTTAAACGTTGTTCAAAATCCTCCAGAGACATTATAGTGGCTCTGAAAAAGAGTGCACAAGATGTCACTACCAGATCCACCAAGCACACAGAGGAACTCCCTCTCTCAAGAAAAGCAATAATGTTGTGGTTTTGTTTGGTTTGCTTTATTATTGTTTTTTATTTTAGCTTGTGAGATTTGAAAGAGTACAGTGGGGGGGGGAGTTGAAGGGAAAAATCTTATCACATTGCCCTATCTGCCACAAACCTCTTCACCACAATCATCACCTAAGTGATTAGTTCAGAATGGCAGTGCTAATCAGCACAGCATTGCAAACAGCTCAGCACCATGCTCACAAGACAGGACAGAGGTGGAAAAAGAAAACACAGAAGGTGGGTCACCTTTTTGCTCTTTCCAAGTCATCATTTGCTTGCTCGAGTTCTCGAATGTATTTCTGAAGTTGATCTTTAATAGCTTTTGTCTGTTCCAAGTCATCTTCCAGTGCAGAGATTTGCCTGTAGCCTTCTGAATGCTGCATTTCAATCTTTTCCTAATCAAAGGCAAATCAAACAGCATGTCAAGGACTTAGCAATGCACGTTCTCTTTCTGTGGCATTGTCTGAGTCCCTTTAGAGGCAGACGGCGTGAAGTTTTTTGAGAAACATCACCTTACATATGGTAAAATGCTAACAAAGTCAAATCACTTACTTCTGGGCTGCCAGCAGAGAAGAGCTCTTCCTCTCAGTCCTTATCAAGCAACTGTGCTGGGGAGCAGTTCCCGCTCTCCACGGCACAGGGCCGTTCCTCGCTCTCCCAGAGAGCGACATTCCCCATAATTTCTGAGTCCCAAAAGCTCTAGCAACACAGAAAGCAGGATGCAAGAGAAACCACTTATTTTCAACTCTAAAAGTCAAACAGTACTTAGGAGTCTAAATAACAAGAAAGGGAAAATATATCCAAGTGTAACACAGTTACACACTGCTGTGGAGCCAGCAGGATTCTCCACTGCCCCTGTGGTTTTATTAGCCCAAAGCAGGTTCAGAGTTCTAGACTGCAGAATATCTCAGGTGCAGTTATGCAAAATGCTTTGGATATGATCCTAAACCAAACTATCTCCCTTTACAGCACATACACAAGGGTAGATTTAAGAGAGATTGAAGAGAGGCACAGGAAGGCTTAGCTTCTCCATCAAATATCTCTCCTGCCACTGCCACTATATGCAGAGTTAGCTCCACATCACATGGCAGGGAAAGCTTCACAGCACACCCTGTACTGCAATGCTGTACGCTCCATCACCTTGCTATCAGGGCACTTTGACATGCCAGAGATTTTTTTGAAACTCCATGACTGCTGTATAAGTAGCATTCCTGAAGTGCTTTTTCCATCCAGAATTTAAGTACAACAGACTTGAAGTCAGTGAAAACAAACCCATGCACTGGAATTTGAAAGCCATGGCATGTAGTCGAGCATGACTGATAATTTGAAGACAGCTATTTTAGCACATGAAATACATAGGAAGGGAGGATGGAAAGAGATGCCCAATCTGAATTAAGAAACTCTTATCTGATTACAGTGTGGCAACACCACTATAATTCCAGATCTCTGAAGCAGTTACATGCTGAATTTAAGAGCCCCCAAGCTCTACAAGGCAGACTAGAGAGTTCTGAAAAGCTAACTGAAAGTAAACAAAACCTCCAAAGCATTATTTCCATTTATTCTTAGGTAGTGTGAACTCTGGTTTCAGAGGGGGGAGCAAGCACACACTCGGCTAGTAAGCTCTGAGCCACGAGCTGTGTGGGCCTGGCAAAAGCTCACCAGTGCTGACCTAGATGCAGACACAACCCTTGATGGGCTCAGTTAACACTGCTGCTCAATAGCTGCATGAGTTTAATGCTTTGCTCTTGAGTTGATTCAGATAAAAGACCCTAACTGCAAGGTTTGGGTCTTTGTTTTTAGCCAATTGTAATAAAGTATCAGCTGATCTGGCATCAATGGAGTCTCTGTTCCTTCACTGCAGGCTGCTACTGTGTTTTCAGGCTGCATGAACAGCCAATTGTTAAAAGGTTCATTTCAAGCAGAATATGTTTTAATAAAGTTATTCACTGTGAAGAATAATTTAAGATTTTCTTAAATATGTTTACCCTCCACTTTTTGAGGTTCTATGTTGATTCCCACTATTTTCACTCTTAACTGCTTCAGCTGGTTCATTGTCCCCTCCTCTCGAGAAAGAAAACACTCCACACCCTCCTCAATTAAATGAGCTGCAGGTTTTATTTTTGTCAAACTTATGCATTCTCCCCAAACCCATCAGCTTCCATAGGTTTCTGTGGCTACATGGAACAGCAGAGCAATACTCCATGCAACATGCAGAGCATTTAATACTGCTAAGGCACTAATACAACCAGGACAAAGATCAGTGCAGCATAACAAATACAATGAAACAAGGCTTGGAGGTTTTGCGATCAAAAAGCAGAGGCGGATCACTAAGTTGGTTCTGCCTGGAACAGAAGAGTATTTCCTTAAGACAGTAATTTGAACAGCAGTTTAGACAAAAGGCATTGCAAACCTGGATTTATCTGCCGATTAATCACTGATAAGCAATTAATCACTTACACAAATACCTTCACTCCCATTAGCTCATCATTGCATCCAATTGAGTAGAAGTGTAATTAAATTAATCTCTGCTTCCACAGATACTGGCCTAGCCCTACCAAACAGAGTGTAGTGCTTCTTGGGTGACTATCCCTCACCTTTAAGTAAAAGACCAAGAAGTCAAACTTTAAAAAGGCATACCAGTTTCAGTGACAATTTTTTTTTCAACTTTAAGAAAACTTACCAGTATTTCCTAAACCTGTCAACCAGCACAGGGACAGCATCTTTAATGAAACTGAAATGAGGCAGACTCATCACTCTTCATACTCTAGATAGCTTCGTTATTTCTTAAGTCACTCTGGTAAGAAGTTCCATCTCAATAAGTTCATATACCATATGTTTTATAATTATGGAAATTAATGCTTTTCAGCTGGTTCTTAGTTTTACAGAAGGCTAACCAAGTGTAAAGAACATAAATTATTTTTCCCCAAGTCCAGACAGATTCAGTAACAAAACTAGGACTGAAACTGTTTTATACCTCTTGGTTCTATGTGTTACCCATCAGCTGCTGCTTCTCAGTTCACCTGGAATGCCAGATAATAAATACAAACATTCCAGCTGTGGTCTTGCATTACATAAGAAAACTCACTAATTTAAACACTTGTTACATAGTTGTGTATTTTGATTGTTCTGCAATATGATCTGTGTCTGCACAATGCAGACAGGAAGCAAGCCATGAACAAAAGCACTAAGTAGATGCAAGAAGGAACAGAACAGCAGCTCTAGCAGCTCTGTTATGTTCATGTTTACTCTCGACTCTACTGTAAACAATTCTCTCCCATCTCAAATCCATCCTGACACATTGCCACAACCTGTGAACAGGGGTTCAGGAACATACCAAAGTATCCAGCACTCTCAAAGCAGACAATAGATTGGTATTTCTTAATTTTTCAAGCCTTTTTTTGGGGCAGTTTTCTGTTCAATTTCTTTGTAATGCTGAAGGTCCCTGTCCACAAGGCAAGCTGCATCTGCACATGCCTGTCTCATTCTCCTTTACACTTAGGCTGTACAGCTACTGTATACATCATCCACTCTTACCTTAACTGACTCCAGTTCCATTCGCAGACGATTGTTTTCTGACAGAAGGTCTCTGTTTCTGGACTCTGTTTGCTGCAGCTGAGTCTCCAGTTCAGCTTCATACTCTCGACTCCCTTCTTGGAATTCACGCAGTTCTTCCTGTGTATTCTCAGCACTAGAGAGCAATTCCAGCAAGAGAACTTATCATAATGAACAAAGAAAAAATCTCTTGTACACCCAAAGTAAAAAACAACAAAAAAAATACTACCCTTCAACACAGAAGGCTCTATGCCCTTCTCCAATATGCATATTCAACAGACAGAGAGGACCATAGGCAAATGTTCCCCCCTCGAGCATGGAAAGCCACCCCATACCAAACTAGTAAACAAATACAAAAACCCCACATACATAGCAAATCCCAAAGTCTGTCTTTACACTACAGGTGTTGAGGACAACTGGAGTCTCTTTAGCTTGTATGTTGACCACCCCCATCTGCATATTTAATCTATTATTCAATTCAATTACTTATTTGGAAATAAGAACAAAGTCGTTTTTTATTAGCAATAAAAAGTAAGAAAAAGAGAAAGAAGGACAAATGTTCTTGTATTCTTAAACAGTTCTACTGAAATAATCCTCCAGCAAACTAAACAAGCAGCACTGAAAGGTCTGAACACCTGGTCTAAGAAAGGACCCATCCATATCAGCATTGAAAAAGTTTGGGGTTTTTTCACCCTTCACTGCATTTAGAGCAACGTACTGAGCTAAAGGGAAGAGCAAAGTATGTCTGTTCTCAGCCAGGGATCCTCCTCCTATGTGCTGTCAAACCATTCCCGATCCACACGGAGATATAAAGAATGAACAGCAGCATCTCTGTCTGCAATGGTGCAAATCATCCACCCCCAACAAGGTTCTGCAGTGAGTTACGTTTACCTGGGCTGCCTGCAGGCTGCGGTCAGAGGCACAATTTCAGCACGCACAGCCCTACTCAAACCAGGGCAGGGACCCAACCAACAGTGCCACAACAGCACAGATTCACTGCTGAAGTGAGCATAAAGGACTCTGGGCTGCTGGAGTTTATGCAGAAGCATTGCTACTGCTACCACTCAAGACAGCTGAGCGACCTTGAATTCACTCCCCTATGTGCTGCTACCCATGTCTTTGCATGCAGTGCCCATGCACTCTATTCAACAGCTTCGAGGAATGAAGCCACTGCCATACCACTGCTTGTATTTCATAGCCAGCTCTTTCCAGTATCTGGTTTCCTCCTCCACTGAGCTGAAGTGATGTCCTTCTGAGTCTTCCATGATGAGTCCTCCAAGTTTAAAACTGCTGTTTCATTTTCTCCCCTCCTGGAAAATTAAAGGATCCAGCATAAGAACTAATGTAGTGGGCCACATCAGTACTTTTTGCAGCAGAGCAGTGCACCCCTCCTCCCAAGAAGGCACTGCACACCTGGAGACTGAACTAGAGACCAGCCTTGACAGGGCTCTGTCAGATATACCATAAACATGAAAGAATCACTACTGAGTATTCACGTCCCTTTCCCCAATTCTCCCAAGGCTACTGTGTGCTTATGCCACATCCCCAGCCACAAGCACCTTACCCACCCTCCGACTACACAGCACAGAGCACCCAACCTCAAACTTCAGCCACAGCTGTGCGGACGCGCACAGAATGTCAGTGAAAGAGAAGACATCTCAGGCACAACTTCAGCTCCAGAGACAGTGCAATTAAGGTCCATTTCAACAACCCTAAAGTCACTTACCCTGGAACTGAAGGGAAACTTCAAAGAGACACAGAGAAGGTACTCAAGATACTAATTTCCCGTGCTCACATTTCCAGGAACACGTGAAATATTTCTCCTTAGGTCAACAGAGACAAAACTACCCGACTTTAAATCTGAAATATTACAATTCATGCATGGCTGAGAGCCACAATATACCTGCATACCTCAGCGAGCCATGGGAGAAGGAAGCTCCAGAAATTCCCAGGGAACGGAGGATGAAAGCTCCACAGAGGCTTCAGTGGGATACCACCTGGCTGGACTAGGTACGCAGATAGATTGTGGCAACCCAGTGAGCAATGCAGACCATCCAGCTGTCCCTGTGCCAGCATAAACCCAGGCGCAGGACAGAGTCCCAGATGTGAGCAACACATGAAAGACGCACAGGGGAATCAAGAACCTTAGGTTGGTCACTCCCGCTTGAAGACTGAAGTATCAATTAAATAAATGTCCCCAACGTGCATGATGCACTCCAATAAACAGGTCACTAGCAAATATCATTTTATATGACTTAGTCTTGACAATGGAGAAACATCAGACCTAATGCTCTGGATAACCTGCCCACGTGCAACCCTGGGTGAGGCAAAGATTCCATGTAGACTATCAATTTAATAGAAACCCAAATAGATCAAGGACGGTAAATAAAGGTGGAGTTGAACAATTCATGACAAGGGCCGTTGTCAGAAAACTACTGCCGAAATCTAATGACTGAGGAAACACAGCTCTTCTACCAAGTTTCAGCTCCAGATCTATTGAGCAAAACATTTCCTAGAGGTAATCCCTGACTGAGCAAAGAGAAAAAAACAGCCAAAGCCTTAAAAGATCATGTAGACATCAGTCCTGTCTTCTGCTCTTCTTAATCATTACACTCAGGAAACGCTGGAGTAGACCTTCTGAGCAGCGCGTCATCGCTAAAGAAAACGCGCATCCACAGCGCATCTATTGAACTCAATGGAAAAATTATTCACAACCTGTGTTCAGGCTGTCCTCTCTAGAAAATCACCTGGTTTAAATAGAAATAACAGCCACCCGTCTGATAACTCTACTGAGACAAACATAAGTAGTTCCTACCTCTACTACAGACAACAGTATCAGGTACTCAAAGTAGTCTGGGGATCTAAAGCCCAATTCTTACACAACCGAGCAGAGTAAGTCCTTTTCACAGCCTGGGTGACTTTCAGGCAATTGCTGGGCAGAGTAAGCAGCTGTCATAGCTAAGTGGGCTGTGCCCACACCTCAACGCACAGCATCAGCTACACACAGGAATTACACCATTACTTAGAAGGGGAGCTGGCAGGTGAGGGGAAAACTTACTACGCTTTAGTTTTTATAATTCAGCTTCTTGACACAAAATGTTAATTAGACAAAGCTATATGTCTTCCTTCTAACAAAGAAAACCACTGTGCGATGTACAGACACACTTCCAGCAAGAAGTCTCAAGGCTGCTGCTCTTTGTATGTATTTATAGAAGTATGCACCGGAGGAAAAAAGAGGAAAAGGAGCACGAGTAAGGAGGAGTGATTTTCCAAATAGTACCCTTGCCCATTAAAAAGAAAATCACAACCAAGCATAATTAACATTCTTGACCTAGGAAAGTTTACAACACATCTACTCTATTATTTTTAAGTGAGCTGAAAGTGCCTTTGATGTTAATGAGGGTGTCCTTATGCTCAAGGCACTGTGTACACACACATCCATCCTTTTCTTTCGTGAAGAAAAAAAATAATTCTCTTTTACAGATGAGGGTCAGGGAGGGAGGGTCAGACACAAAGAAGTGATGCAGGTGCAATGACAAACCAAGAAGAACCAGCATTCCATTACTGTGGTCAAACCACTCCAGAGAACAGTGAGCCAGTTTCCTTTAGATGGTTATTTCTTACCACTTAGACAACAGGCAGTTTCTGTATTTCTTCAAAAACAGAGATCCCATCCAGGGTATACCTGGTTTTGCTACAGAAATTAAAATATATTTCAGAAGAATTCCTCTTTGGAGACTTCTGGCACAAGTGTTATAATAAATCCCATATCTGCGTTCAGACAGTCAACAAAAAAGTCAGACAAGATAAGAGATGAAGGAATGCAAAACATCTTGCTCCCAAAAGCTTTCAAACAACCCTTTGGAAACAGAAGACACAACTCCTGTTGGCCTCAAATGCTTGAAAGTGCTCATATCTGGCTCTCACTCGTGTTTTCACACTGCACTTTGGAAGGACTAAAAGAATGTACTAATTTGCATTTTTGAAGATTGTATGGTCACATACAAAAGAGCTTTCACTAACCAAGCCATTAGATTTACAAGAGTTCCACAGAACCTTAATAGCTTTCACAGAAGCATAAAGATGCTGCTCCCTTTGGTTTCCAAGTATGTATTTGTAAACATGAGATTATGGACCCACCAAGGATGTTCTCCATTAAGAGTACGCTCTGTTTCATGGTTACCTTTACTACTTACTTATAATTTAGAAGCAATTGTTAAACTGCAAATACATGGAACGACTGTGGACCTATACTTATTCCACAGAGATGACACAACATGGCAGAGATTGTTTCACTACTGTCCCACACCACAGGCACATGGGTTTTGTCCGCAACACAAGATTTATTAGGTTCCCTGCACACCTACGCTACATCTTGGCCCACAAATTTTCAAACTAACCAAAGATTTAAGATACAAACTTAAACAGAAAAGAAAAATTCCAAATTTTAGACACAGTATTACAGCCTTTTTCAATTTTCTGAAATTTGATTAAAAAACCCAAAACACACTCAAATAAATCTTTCTAAATGGCCCATAGAACGAGTAGGGCTTTGACTTCTTGTTTTCCCCCCCTGCTGTCTTCTCCCCTCGATTTTTAACAGCTTGGAGACAGTATGCAAAATGCCTGGAGAGTAATTAATTAAACCAATTAGGAACTCCTCATTGTCTAGGCTCACTACAAAAGGGGGGATGTTGAGGGGGGTGAAGGAGGTTGTAGCAATGTTTTGTCAAACATTGGCAAATGTGGGAAAAACAAGGAAAGTCACAGTCTGTAGCAGGCACACACCGGCTGCACCCTGCTTGTTTTCACGCACACGAAGCCAGAAGAGACATCTGGCCAGGCTTCCTGCGAGCAAGGAGCTGGTCACACACATTGCAAAACCTCTACCTCATACGGGAAGTGCTTGTGGGTGGGGAATGGACTTCTGCAAGGAGAAAAATACCTCAGCATAAATGTTGCAGGAAACGATTTCATACAAGTGACAGCAGAATTGCTAAATTCTTAAGGGGGGAAAAAAAAACCCCACCCACAACATTAAGAAAAGCAACACACAAAGCTATTGAGGGAACTTCAATTTAGGAATCAGAGTCTGAGTTCGCCAAACTCATGCAGACCTCAACTTAGATTTTGTTTCAGTCCTAGAATAAAGGACTCAAAACCACCCTGCATACCGAATAGTCTTTTTTTTTTTTTTTAAACAAAAGAACGTTTTAGCTTGGTGAACAATGTTGGCCTATCTTTGTAGCAATGCCCGATGGTCTGAGTCAGGGAAATTCATATTGTAATAAAAAATTAACAGCAAGAGAGTACCATAAATACTACCGGATTATCTGTGGCAGAGATGATGAAGCTCCTATTAGACATTTTTTCCCAACTGTAAACCAAAACAAAACCCCTCTTTGCTCCTGGAAAGTCACTTTCCCATCCTATGCAAATTCCATTTTCTTAACACAGCCCCCTTGCAAGGCTGTTCCTGTAACATAAGGGCCTATTTTCTTTTGTTTAAGCAGTACAAAAGCAAATCACCACGAGAGAGAAAGAAAAGGAAGAGGTCAGCGGAGCGCCAGGATTACTACAGAACGCCCCAGCCAGCACTGAAAGCAGTTTCCATCTTCCCAGGGTCTTCTCCACCAAAAGGCTCAACTCGCAAAGCCCTCATCTCTTCAGAGGCCGGCCCGGCTCCAATACTTCCAAGGTTCCCGTGCTTCCTGAGGGAACGCCGCCAAGCCTTCTCTCCCGAAGCGGC